CACACCTCCGATTTGCTAAGCTCGAACCACATCAGCTGTGTAGTACTGAACTGGGATTTTATGCAGTAGCGTAAGTGCCAACTTTAGTCGCATGTGCAGAAATATGTGCACAAACACCATGGCTGCAATGATCAAGGTTAAACATATGTCACCCGATTTACACACGCGTATCGAAGAATTGACAATTACGATCTGGAGTAGAAAATCTCTTCCAACAAACGGATGATCGACTTATTCAATTTGTAAAGTATCACAATCTCATACAAAAATAATAGGCAGATGGCCCATTTACACAAAATTCTGTATCACGAATGACGCATAAACTCACTGGGGAAATGAGCAAGGCGGCGGTTTAAAAGGGCATAGAAACTAAACTGGTATGTGAAATCTGTTCTGAGCACAAGCGTCTATAAACCACTGATAAAATGTAATATTGAGGGCTCATCAAAAGGACGGTTATAAATCGAAGAAGTGTTAGGACTTTAACGCAGGCATTGTCCTGGAATTTACTGTTTTCCTTTACAAATTTGGAAGAAGCCAGATGGTTTGAACCAATGAAAGCTCAATAGATGATTGTTAACAAGGCAAAGCAAGTAGGCTTTATCTAATTGCGGACTTTAGCTGACGGATCACCTTTCTTTTGTGGATGCCAAAACACTCAAGGTTCCCTCCCTTTTTTCAGCCGAAGTAATTTCCTCGGGTAGTCTCTGGAGTCCACTCATTTGCGTCGTCTTTCACCGTCCCAACAGCCCCGGAGAAGACCAAACTCCTTCATTACCATTACGATAATTGTTTTATCTTTGAGAAGAGTGATTCGTCTGACGGCATTTTTTTTTCATTCGGGAAGCATGATTATATTAGCTTAGCTGTGGGGAAAAAAGCAGGACAACAAAGGTGGTGTCTTGAGTGGTGAAATAATTATCACAAGAGTCTTTATCGCCAAAACAATCTCGAGAGAAGAACTGACCTACTTTCTTCCCAATTAAATAAAATTACGTTTAAGAGTTGAGTTTTTTTCAAATAAAAAATGGATGGAGTGAATGTGACACCGAGCATTCTCTTTAACCTAGAATGGGCTAAATAACCGACAACTTTCCGCCATTAAAAGGAGCATTTTTCCGCGAGTAGTCTGTGTGGAGGCCAAGCCGACCTCACCAATACTCGTGGTTTCGAGTCTATATCCAGATCTTTCTTCACCGACCTTGCAGGGTGGTTTTTAATCGCCGACACGGAGTAGTCCCTTGGAGGCAACTAATGCTTGTTTGGCCTCACTAACCGCTAGCAAATGCTAGTATGACCCTACAAACGAGCACAGTCGATAGACAGGTGTGTAACACGGGAGCGATGGTAATGATAGAATGGACAGTTTAGAGGAGAGTAACGTGTTGACAATTAAAGTAAATTTATATGTCCACCGTCATCGTTCAAGTGTGCTGGCCTATAGCACAGAATTAGACTATATTTACGCCAACCTAACCCTATCCCTCACGTCCGTTGTCCCCTTGGAGTAAACGATATGTATTCAAGAGAACAGCTGTCCTCACAAGTGCTTGTGATGCCTATCGACTGCAATGTAATGAACCAAAGACTAGCAAAAGCGTCTGGCGCGATACTAGCTGGCTAGGACTAAACCAAAATGAGGTCACTGCGAAATTCAACTTGATCTTTTCACTGATTCTTGCCTAAACATGAATAACCAGCAGGAAAGTCCTGGGCAGCAACAACATTAGACGCCTTGACGCAGAAGTAGACATTTTACGCAGAGTTTAGCCATGTCCTTGAATAAAAACGGCGACTTCTGTCCTCTCAACTCGACATTAAGACTGTGCCTGGACGCGGAGAACCCTCAGTGGGATAACAGCATTAGTCACTGATTTTAATCATCAGTGTCTGTAATAGAATTAGGAGAAATAAAGACGGGGATGTGTACGAGGAGGCCGCTATCGCGCCAAATGTGACCACTTGGGAGGAATGCAAAGACTTTTAGGCTAGAAAATGCATAGCAGCGTCATAACTGCAGCATATAAATATTGCTCCCTTTGTGTGTCCTCTACCCGAATTTGCAGCTGCCTCCGAATAGGAGCTTAAGAGGGAGGCCAAAACTCCAGGTGAATGAACTTCTGGTAGCACAGCTTTGGGTTGACTAGCCGTATAACCACGGGCTTGGCTGTTGCTATCAGCCGTTGGTGTGGGCTTTTAGAGAAGTTTGTTTGTGCCTGGCAGACAAACAGCACTCTGTTGTCAGAAAACGTTGATACAAGCGAGGCGTCTTCCGTGGCCAAGGTCGACTCCATAAGCTGATCACATGCCGTCCCCAACCCCTAATGACAGTAATAATTATAATTGTATTTAAGACTAGTCTACAGTCAATGCCAGAATAACTACCACTTATGCAAGCTAAGGAAACACAAACGTAAAATAGTAAGCGCCCCATCCTCTCGCTCTGCAGAGTTTTCGTATAAGAAAGCTTACTACAGATGACCGGCACTCTCAGCAGCGAATACAAGGAGGCAGTTGTCTACAGGCATTGCTATTACCAAGACTCATAACTACCAGACCGGAAACCTTCCTTACAAATTTTCCTACACTTAATGCCATTCTTACGAAGTCCACTCTAAATTCCTCTCAAATTTCAATATGCATTCTGCAAGAGCAAATAGTTGCTTACCATCGGAAACAGGTTTAATGCTGTCGGGTACAACGGACTCGGAGTTTGCGTCGGTTACCGGATCCAGTTTTGTGCCGGTGGCGCTGACCTTAGGATCGTCCGCGCAGGGACCCAGGCCTTCCGTTGGACCAGTACAGCTCATGAGGAAACTTGTGATAAGCGCGGGGAGTTGGTCGGCGGTTCCTCTCTTTCCAGCCAGCTCCCAGAGAATTTCAACTTCTTCCGTATGGAGGGGAGAGGGCACGCGTTCCTCGAAGGCCTGCAGCTGGCACTAAAGCGGTGAGATTTCCTTTCTTTAGGGAAACTTATTGGGAAGACAATTCAAAAAGGTCGGTTGTGCCTTCATGGGACTATTTTAAAATACCCACAAGGCATGCGCTCCTTACAAGGCCGCGTAGTGCCACAACCTATTCCATGAGGAGTTTTCATACAATGGAAACGTCTTTTGCAGGTCTGATTCCCCTCAAAGGTCCATAATCTACTAAATTTAAATGAGACTACTTAACCTTTTGGACTTTCTTAAGTTGGTATCACAGTGAAGGTGTTGACTTTGTTTTCAACACAGTAATTGAAAAGTAAATGCAGGTGTAGAGTGCAGATATACTTGTTTTTGTTCTAGACTGGAAACTCTATTAAGTGATGAAAAAGGAAACTATGCATGTAGTCGTATTCAGAGGCATCATCTACCAAAAAGAAAGAACAATATCCAGTACAGAACTCTCGAATAGTACAATGCTCACAGAATCTCTAACGTGTGGGAAATATTTGTTTGGAAGCAGCTATGTGGAATGTGACGCACTCAATCGGTACAACCGTATAAAAACCATTTGATCTGCTCGAGCCAGTTAGTTGTAATACGCCTCCCCTAAATCTACTGGTCTCTCTTGGAACAATGAATTTTAGCGAAAAGTATTCACAGTTTAATTGTGCGGTATTCCTTTATTCAGACGGCCCTGAAGGGAGTTCTACTAAGGCGTTTTCTGTGTAATTAAAATCCACTAAATTACAATTATTGCAGTTAAAAGTGCCCGCACTGCTGCAGCCTAATAGGACTCAAGTGAAGCCATCTAATCATACGCTGCTTTCCAGGCAAATACCTGTTTAGTTGTAGGTGAACTAATGCCTGCTATTTATTTAGCCCATAAAAGCAGTTTAAGAACCGAAGGCAACACAAAGCATCAACTCATTTAGCTTCAATTTCCTGAGCTAGGCATGTTTGGAGTCGTAAGCCTCTTCATCCTTATCAGTGTTGTTAGCTGCTTTCAAGTCGCTGATGGCTGTTTGTGTTCAACCATCGGTTTTGGTAAAGTCCACCAAGTGCACTAAAAGGTTGGTACAGCGGGTGACAGTCTCAGGGGGTAGGTTATAGTGCTAGTGGACGTAGTTGGCACCAACCACACTCTTCAACTTCGCCCGGGGTCAAGAAGACCAAACGGGAGCCGGCTTTGGCCACTTTCTCCACTGCAAGCCATAAACACGGCCTGACTTAGTCTTAAGGGACAGAAGACTTTGCGCGTTAGTAGTACTGGCACTAACACTGACGCTACCATTTGTCAAAGGTGATGCTGGGGTTCATACCCCCTTGATCTCAACAAGGAGTGTGAATTTGGGTCTAAACTCTTCCGAATAAGTACATGTTTGGGACCCTGAGCACAGGAGAGCTCGCCTTGGTTTCCATCCTTCAGACTGTGTCCGTTTCTGCTAGGTTCGGACTACGATACTGCTGCTAGAAGTACGTGCCTATGCTAACGCGCTAATTTCAGTAGTCATGATTACTAAGGCCAGTAAATGGTATACTATAATACGGTCTGCGTGCGCTTTTTAAGAAGTCGGCACCCAGCATGCACTCCCAAGCTGTATGAGGTAAAGCGATTAGCTTATGGTTTAGGGGACGTCTCCTGTCTACTAGGAGAGCAATCTGCTCTATACTCAACTAATATTGCTATATCCTATAACTGTGTCAGCAGCTGAGTAATAAGCCATAAGCATAACAGATGGGTCGATAGCTACAAGGTGGATCATTAGCTGACCTGGTGTTCCTCTGAGTGACAGTGTCGCAGAACCTCAGCTACGCTGAACCAGGAAAAGTTTTCTGCTGCTGCTTCAGTTGGTGCTGCATGAAGACAGGACCGGCAGTCGTAGACGATCTTGACTTCAGCCACCATCTTAAGAAGATTCTGCACGGCAGCGGTGGCGGCTGTGGAGTTGACCACGCTGACTGCATTCTGTTTTGACGCATTATCCGCGGCAGCCGTCTGCCCAACTGACAGACTCGGAACCATCGTCTTCAGGTGATCTACATAGACTTGCGTAAAGGCGACAAGGGCGGCTCTCAGCTCGTCTCTCTTGTGCGTAATGTAACTGAAGAGGCGGGCAAAGCGCACATGGCTCAGCATCTGACAGTGAACACGAAATTTGTGCACTGAACCCGAGAAGAAGCCGCAAGCCAGACATCGAAGCTGGACAAAAGTCGAC